TGCTTTATCTATTTCCTTCAGGCTTCACATCCAATCTGTCAGTAAATCTTGTAGGCAATATATTAAAAATATATTAAAATTCAAATTGTTTGTCACCATTTCCATCTCCATAAGCCACAATCATCTTTTGAATGGTCTACAACAGCTGCATTTTATATTAGTCAGTATTGGCCTGTTCTGTTTTATACTTTTTGGAAGGCAAGAAATTGATTTGGATTCTCTTATACACATAATACATGAGTCCATTATAATTTTTAGGTTATTTAAGCTGTACAAAAGTGTATTGAGAAAATGTGGAAGTCATCTCTCACCCTGCCTATCTCTTTACCACTCCAAAGGAAACATGATTAAATTTTTAATATAGATCCTTTAAGACTTTTTTCCTTTTTTCTTATACAATAATATCTGTGGTTGTTGATTTAACTAGGGTGATTCTGCTTCCCAATAGAATTTAGCAATATCTGGAAGAATTTTTGTTTTGTGATGACTGTGAAGGGTTGTAATTGGCATCTAGTGAGTAGAGGTCAAGGATTCCGCTAACCTTCTACAATGTGGAAGACAACTCTCACAACAAATAATTATTTGGAACTAAATGTCAATAGTTGTCATTCTCAAAAGGCTGTTTTTGTGTCCTTGCTGTTGAATTCAATATTTATATTCACAGAGTTATTCAACCAATTTTAGAGATCTTTTTAAAAAATTATTTTTTTTAATTAAAGTGTAATTGCTTTATAGAATTGTGTTTTCTGCCAAATATCATGTTGGTATTTAGCAGATATAAAATTAAAATATCTACCTACTATTGTTAAATTATCTGTTTCCCCTTCAATTTTCTCATTTTTAACTTTGTGCATTTTAGGCACCTATTGTTATATCCATATGTGTTTATAATTTTTATCTTTTCCTGATGGATTGAGACTTATTACTATGAAATGTGCCTGTATATTACTATTTTTATTGTTGTTTGAGTCTATTTATCAATTGTGGTAAAACCACATCAATTTTCTTATGATTGCTGTTTCCCACCTGTTTATTTTTAACTTATTTGGATGTTTTATTCTAAAGTGCTAATCTTTAAGCTGTATAGAGCTAGATATTTTTTATCCAGTTTCACATACTTTGCATTTTGAACACATTGTTTAATTCACTGTCACTTAATGTTGCTATTCATGTAGTTGTAGTTGCATCTTCCATTTTATTTTTGCTCTATGTCTCATGTGATTTTTGTTCCTATATTTCTTATATATGACTTTTTTGCACTTACTGAATATTTTGTAGCATTATGTTTTAACTCTTAATGCTTTTTCACTCTATATTATTTTACTTATTTCCTTAGTAATTGTTCAAGAGTTTACCATATATATCTCAACTCATCAGAATCTACTTCTGATTTATATTAACTTCTATACAATTCAGAAATTCTTCTCCTATATAGCAAGTAGTTCCTAAATAGCTCTCTTTCCTTGTTGTTTGTGCTCTTTTCAGTTACACATATGTTATTCACCAAACAACACATTGCTATAATTATTACCTTAGATAATTTTTTGTTTCTTAAAGAAAGAGAGAGAAGAATTAGAATAGGTATGCACTGAGCTCATTTTCATTTCCACGTATCTCAGTGATGATATTTTTGTCAAATATATTGCCTTTATTTCTTTAATAACTCCATCAACACAATTTATAGCTATATAAATATAGACAGATATACAGGCAATTGTTTTTTAAATTAAAAATAGAAAGATGTAATGTGTATTTATAATGGTTTCTATAATTACATAATTATCTTTACCAGTGTATTTTGTTTTCTGTTGATTTGTTTTTTAATTACTATGTAAGTTCACTAGATTTCAACTGAAGAGAATTTAAGTGCCAATTTATTGGGGTTGCTTTGTACATGCCAAGGCATTTTTCCCTTGTTGCTTTTCAGATATTCTCTTTTTAGTTACATTTTCACTATGATACATCTTGTGTAGATTTCTTTGCTTTTGTACTATTTGCAGCTTACTAAGCAACTAGAATGTATAAAATTATTTTTTTTTGGTCAAACTTGGGAAGATTTCAGTCATTATCTCTTTGATTATTTTTTTCTTCTCCTTTCTTTCTCTCACTCTATACTAAATTAAAATTGTAAGGTCAAATAGAAAATATTATAATAAAGGATAATGTATGACTAAGCTAAAAAAGAAGCAAAAGTCATTTAACAATTTCTTTAAAGAGACAGACTGGTGAACAAAATAGTAATATACTAGAAGGTTTATACAATAAGCTAGCATGCTAATATCAAGGTAAAATAAGTTACTTATAATATAATTTTAAAACAAATAACAAGAAATTTTTCACAACACTGATTATATTCTAAATAGCAAAATTGATTATTTTAAGTCTATAAACTAAAACTGAAATACATATCCAGCTACTAGGTTATTATATTACATCCTCATTTAACCAGCTAAAACTTTCAGAAGATGCAAAATAGGAAAAGGATTGAGAAAAATTCATAAAAATTTAATTGGCAAAAATATGAAAACTAGAAATGTATCAATTTCAAAATTATTGAAAGTACTAAGAAGGCAGACTTCTCATTTTTCCAAGTTTTTAGTATACAGTTATAATGAGATGAAGAAGATGATTTATTCTCAGTTTTTGGAAGAGTGAAATTATAAAGAATGAAAAGGTTATATCTAAATATAATGATATGATAGTTCCTTAGTACCTAATATTAGTTTTCTATGTAATTCAGTTGAATAAGCAACTATTGAGCTTTTGATATGTTTCATTCCCTACTAAAGGAACTTAGAAAAAAAGAAAGAAGATGGAGGTCCCACACTCACAGTTCAAGAACAGATGAAGATTAAAGAATAAATCTGTCATAATAAAATGCTTATAAATAGAACAAAAAATCATTCACAAAATACAATATCATGAGTGTGTTTATACTTATCATTAAGATTTGGAGACTCTTCATGAAGGAATAAGATGTGAGTTACACATTAAGAAGAAGAGATTCAATTTCTCAAAGGCATAAAGAAAAGACTTCTCCAAATATGTGAAGAAATATTTTCAAACAAACAAAATCATGAAAAACTTGAATGCAAGCAAAAAATATAGTGTGGTTGAGAAAAGAAAACAAGATAGCAGATACTATCAGGTCAAATTGGAGATCAGAAGCCAGATTATAAATAATATTTTGTAATATTTCAATAATATATTAAAAATAGGCTTTAATGCTGAAGAATATAAATATTAATATGTATATTTCATAGCAAGCTTTCATGGTATGATTATCTTTTTCAAGAACTTGCTCTGAAAGCAGCATGTAGAACTTTAATGGGTAAAATTTAAAACAGGGATCCAATTAGATGGCTAGTGCCATAACTGGGAGAATTATTAATGATGATATAGGATAAAGTTTTGGAATTTTTGTTCAGGAGAAGACAAAGAAATGTTAAAGTCACAGAATGGAATGGACTAACTGCCCATCAGTAACAAGTTTCCAGTAAAAATTTCTAACAATATATACATGAATTGATGGCCCTTAGGAGCATATTTATGCAATTTCCTCAAGATGTGCGCAGTAGCTCAGGTATAGAAACTAAAAAGATGCATTGCACAGTTGAGCTTTCCAGATAAACACAAAAGAAAGTAGAGAAGCAATGGAAAACTCTCTCTTGTCATACATTTTTTAGTCCCAAGGAATTTACAATATAAGAGAAATAATTCAAATGCTTTATTTACAGCCTGGTGTGGAGTAATTTCTACCTAGAAGTCATCAGATTAGGAGTCTTTGGAAAAGTGCAGCAGTGATCCCAGGCCCTTAAGGGACAGAATTTCCTGTATTTGATATACAGTGAAAGGTAAAATGCCCTGGGGTTGACCAAGAGGTGCTTTTAGCTCAGGCCCTTAGCTGATATGTAGCAGAATGCAGCACCATCCATTAGTACAATAAACATGAAAGGGGAATGAAAGAAGGAAGCTTAGCTTATTTAGAACAATTATTAAGAAGGCGAGGGTGGGATGTTTCGAGAGAACAGCATTGAAACATGTATATTATCTAGGGTGAAACAGATCACCAGCCCAGGTTGGATGCATGAGACAAGTGCTCGGGCCTGGTGCACTGGGAAGACCCAGAGGGATCGGGTGGAGAGGGAGGTGGGAGGGGGGATCGGGATGGGGAATACAAGTAAATCCATGGCTGATTCATGTCAGTGTATGACAAAAACCACTGCAATGATGTAAAGTAATTAGCCTCCAACTAATAAAAATAAAAAAATTTTTTAAAAAAGACAAGTAACTTGGTTAAGTGGAGATGAGGAAACGGAAGCTCCCTATTCTACAGCACTCTAGCAGGAATAGCAGGAAGCATCACTGTATCATCCTGTCCACTTCAGAGGGTGTTGTTCTTTCACTTAAGCTGTGTATTGTTCTGTTAATGGGAGAGCATCCTGCCTTAAAACACACACACACACACACACACACAGTGGTGAAAAAAAAAAGTCCCTCTTTTTTATTTGCTTCTCCCCTACCATATGGAACATCATAATTTTTTTCAGCAACACTTTTTACTTTAACTCCTTCTAGCATGCTCATGAATCTCGAAGCTGTAATTCCGGTTCTAAATTTAAGAATGCTTGTTTATTCTACCTGAGTAGCCCCTGTATTTACTCAAACTCAGAATGTCTCAACTGAATATATATTATCATATATATATTCTATTTTCTTATTTCACTATTCATTAAGAGACACAATTATCCATCTATTCATTCAAACTCAAAGCCAGAAAGTCTTTCCAAATTTCCTTTTTCCTTTCTCAGTGTCAAGTCCTACCCGTCTCTTATTTCCATCACATCATCTACAGTTTCCTTGCCACAGCCTAGAGGAGAAAATCATTCTTTCCCAGAGCCTCCCATCCCCCCTCTCTTTCATTTATCCCTCCTACTTTCATGGAGTGAGATGATTATTCTAAAGTCCAAAGCATGCTGGGCCACGTGCTCAGAGCCCACTTTTCTCCGGACGATAAGTGTGAAATTCCTTAACATGTTCCTTCATCATCTGCTTCTTGATCAACTTTCAAGATTTTCTGCTGTATCAGCAGAACCTATTACTATGAGGCTGTCACGGGTAAGGCCATGACAGGCAGCCTAGATTAGGAGTAGGCCTGGTTTCCCGGGGTAACATAATTATCAGGCCTCCTGGAGCTAGCCAATCAACATATGCCTAGCAAGAAAAAAGGGAACCTATCAGGGGAAAGCTGAAAGCCCCACTTTGGGCCACAAAAATTGCCTTGCAACTGTGTAACCAATCCGCTTGCGCCAGCTACCTGCTGTGTAACCAATCCGCTTGCGCCAACTACCAGCTGCTTCTTTTTGACCTAATAAACACCGGAGAGAACTGGGGCTCGGGGCCTTTCGTCCTCACACCCTTGGTGAGGGCGGGAGGCCCTGGCTCGAGTCAGTAATAAATTCCCCTATTGCAAGTTGCATTGTTTCGAGGAGTCTTCTTTCCCGACTGGGGACTCAGACTACGGGCAGAACAATTACTAGTGATTTGCCTAAAGTGAGAATAAAGCAAAGAACAAAATGAGGACAAATCTCTGCATTTATGGAATTTGCCTTCAAATGGGGGGAAAGAAAGATTAATAATAATAACAATACAAATTATAATAATTGCTGTGGAGAATGTAGATCAAGTTTAGGGGAATTACTGTTGGGTTTTGGAAGAGATTACAGTTTTATATAGAGCTGTTAGGGAAGGGTCACTGAGGTGCTCTCTGCAAGGACCTGAAATGCATGTCCATTTCAACTTGTACAATTCCTCTTACCTTACACTGTTTTTCCACAGTATTTCTCACATGTATATATGAGTTATTTGTTAAGACTACCTCCCCCACAACTAAATGATTTATAAAATGCACATTTTCATCTGGTTCACTGACTTATAGTCTCAGAAATAATTAGTAGTTGCCCAATAAATATTTGATGAATATATGTATCACATTGAACTGGAATTCGGCCACACTTGAAGAAAGCATTAAGTTAAATCTAGTTAATACCCAGATTCATATACTGCAAAGTAAAAGCTGGTCATGTAATCCCATCGTGAGCAAACCTGGACAGGTTTTTGGCTCCATAGTTCAGAGTCTCACAAGTTAACACCAGTGTGCAGAGCCAGACGCAGCCACAGCTGGAACAACATGTGTGAATTTGCTCCCTTCCGGTTCAGAAGAGGAACAATGCAAAAACATAAATCAGAGCAAAAAAGATTATATAAATATTTTAGCAGTATAATTCACTTGAGTTTATAATGAGCACTTGCACCATGGCGATCATTCTAAGTATCAGCAGCCTAAACACTTAATTTTCTAATGTGAAAGTAATTTGCTCTAAGTTAGAACAGAATTTCAAGATGGAGCATCTGAGTTTCACATCAGTTCTCAGACATATTTCTGAGATCTTTCTCTCTTTGAGTAATATTTTAAGCTATTATTTATTGATTGCTAATTATACTCAGTATACCTTCACAAGTATCTCTATGGAATTCCTACAATGTAGTTTCTATTATATGTATTTTATGATTGAGAAAAGAAGGAGAAAAGTTACATAAGTTGCCTCAAAACCACATAATAAATGGTATAGAAGAGATGGGAAGCTGCAGCTCCCAGCATTCAAAACACAGGCTTTTAATCATTATTTTATTCTGTCTTAAATTGAACCCATTGGAGGAGGTGAGCTCACAGTCTTCCTATTCTGCCATCTTGGACAGTCCTCTCCCTTACCTTGTAAAAAGAACAGCATCATATATATCTGCACAATATCCGTACCATGCAGAATTCATTCCTACTTCTTTTTTTTTCTGTTTTTTGAGTCAGAAAGAAATGTTACTGCCTTTAAAAGAGACAAAACTTGCCATCTTGCTTTTTAAGTTATACATTTTTCATGAAATTATGAACCAATTTCATATCAAAGAAAAAACTATAAGCTTATGAAGAAACTATAAGCTTAAGTGTTTTGATTCTTTAAAATTTCTATTTATTCTTAATTTGTTTTCATTTAAAATATTAATAAGATGATGTACTCTGTAGGAGCTTTAAATGGTAAATTTTTAAAAAGGGAGAGACTAAGGTCGCCAAGCAAGTCCCCACCGGCGACAGCTCCCGTCACTATTTGGTGGGAATGGTGTCTCCAGTGTCTCTGCTGTGTGTGTGTGCAGAGGTATTCATATAAGCATCTGTCTTTCTGCATTTTATGAAAGAAAATTTTATTTAACTTCTCTTTCATTTGTTAAATTCATATAAGCCCACTAGCTAAAAGAGAAAAATTTAAAAACGAATCTGCAAACTAATCTCGAACCTATTTTCCCTCAAGCTTTTAATTTCCTCTTGATTAGTACCAGTCACTCTTCCAAAATTGATTCTTTTCATATGAAGTAAAGTTAGCAAAGAGGCTGATCAAACAGACAGAAAGTCTCCAACTTTGGCTTCTACCGAATGTAATCAATGCTTGACTCTAACTTGGTATTCTAGAAGTTTGATCAGGTCGTAGATAACATATTACATAATTGCTAATATGGTGGTCAATGTAGGGTCAAAATTAAAAAAATGTCTGATTTTTTAAGGCTGAGAAAAAGTTGAACTTTTATGAATATCTCTAATCCACATTCAGATATTACACCTTATCTTCCCTCTACTTAGGGACTTGTTCTCACTTGTAGGTTCAATTTAAGATAGATTCTGAAGCCATTTCTGCTCAGTCAATAGAAACAAGGGTTTATAAGCCAGTAGGTCAGGGATTCAGCATAATTCTCCTCTGTTCTCAAGTTTGAATTGCACTAAGACTTTTCCTGCCCTGATTCAACCCATATCGAGCATCTCCATTTCAAAAGTAGTCCATCTTCTCCTCAAGTCTGAATCTTGTCCTGATTTTCTCTGTGATACCTCAGGCCTGATTTTCTCTCTACCACTAAAGCTTCACTGCTACCAATAGTTTATTATCAAATTTCTTTCTATCCATGTATTTCATTTCTATCCATTTGTTCAGCACTGATTTAGTATATTCAGCAGCAGACACTCCACCAAATATTAATTATACAGTAGTGAGTGATATAAACCAGAATATGTTTACCTATTTCAGGTAAGGCATATTCATTTTGCAACCAAGATTGGCTATATCAACAATTATTACTGGGCGTTAAATAGCAATTATAATAGCAGTTTCACAATATAGCCACACACACACACACAGACACACACATTCACACATGTACTGCAAGCACACTTACAATAATTAGAAAACCCCTACACAGCTGTTTCCATCTTCAGTTAGATATTGACTTACAGTAACATCAGTAACCTTTGAATTCAGCCTTCCATTTTATTCAACCTTATACCATAGCAGAATTATTAGTTTGGTAGTCATGTGACAACGGGGTTAGCAATGGAATGCAGATTCGATATTTACTACTGAATGTACTTGGTTACATTAAGAAAATAAATTACTTAAGCAAAATTTTAAAAACCTCTACTAGCTCATGTAAAGAAATTATATCTATTGTAAATCTTCCTGGTAAGAAAGGAATACACAGGAATAAATCAGCTGGTAAGATAGGATAGATTCCTATACCAGGAATCAGTAGCAGACAGGTCAAATCCATAGGTCAAATATTACTGTTGGTGTGCTTCAGCATAGCCCATGAGCTGAAAATGATTTTGATATTTTTATAAGGTTACAAAAGAATTCAAAAAAGGATATGTGATGGTGACCATACCTGGTCTGCAAAACTTAAAATATTTATACTATTGGATCCTTTAGAGAAAAATGTGCCAACTCTGGATGAAGACTTTGAATAGAGATTCTTACTCAACAACTTAGGTATCTAATAAGATACTGTCAAAATCTAAATTAGAAATTTTAGTCTGCATTTAGAAGTTTATAAATGCAAATTTATTAGAAATAGCAAAATGGATAATAATCCCCTTGTCTGCCTTACTTATACTTTCAGTATATAAAAATGCTCATTCTGACATCTATTCATTAGTTGTATCTAGCAAACTGAATATGTATGGGCAGTTAAAGAAAATAAAACATCTAAGTTATTGAAGGATTTCATAACTATTAGTTTTCCTTGGAAAAATTTAACATGATAACTCAGAGAATCTGTTTATACTATGTCATTTCTTACTTTTGTTTATACAATATTGATAGTTTAAATGCTTTAATGAATATTTCATTTATGTATTTTTATGGCTCACAGAATGTGGCTGAGGGCCTAGAGAATCATTAATAATAAAAGGCACTCCCTTGCTTTTGTTGTTCCTACGTCAACTTGGCAAAAGCATAATGCAACATATGGCTTTCACCACAGGTATTTAATTTCAGCCTACTCAGGTTTTTGACATAGCCAGAAGTAGTAGGGAATCCCAGTGTTGTAGAGACACTGATGGAAAACATATCCTCTTAAGATTACTAAAGCAGAAATATTCACATTGATTGCAAACAGGTCTAAAAAATCAATTACTGTTCAGCATCCCAAGAGTCATTAAAAAAAAAAAAACAACTGTGTAGTACATCTTAAATCACCATCCCTTACTGAAGTTGATAGAATCTATAGAATATCTCCAGTCCCCAGTATTGGGGCCATGTGTCAATGTATATGGTTCTTGTATTTTTAAAAAGTAGCCTAACAGTAACTGTCTGGGTTTATCGTGAAACAGTTCCTGTCCGGGGTTATTGTGAAAAACGTGTGTGATTAACTTTGCAACTTTAATAATTAGCGCATGTGTGCGTGCTCAGTCTTGTCTGACTCTTTGCAGCTGTTTGGACAGTAGCCCACCAGACTCCTTTTTCCATGGGCATCCCCAGGTAAGAATACTGGATCCTGTTGCCACTTCATCCTCCAGAGTATCTTCCTGATGCAGGGATCGAACCCACCTCTCCTGAGTCTCCTGCATGGCAAGCAGATTCTTTACCCCCCAGAGTGCATGCTCAGTCATGTCTGAGCAGGTTGCCATTTCCTTCTCCAAAGGTCTTAAATAAAATTTTTCCCTTTTAAGTTCATCAGTGCAATTTTTCTTGACAACACAGACACACAAATTCCTCAACAAAAAGAAAAGGATGATTAAGCAAATATAATATAATTACATTAATTTTGGGGGA